TAGAGTAACTCCAGCTGACAATGTTTCACATGTGAAATGAATATGGAACATGTCAGCTGGACTTACTCAAGCTACTGTCAGCTACTGAACACCTACAAATTTACAATCATTTTTCAAATTCAATGAAACTGAGCGGCGAAAGTATATAAAATGCGTTTAAAGTCCGGTTTCCGGAATATGTCTGCGTTCCAGAACCACAAGGCGGGAGTCTGTGACACGTTGTATGATTGTACACTACAAGCGGCTGCTATACCGTACTGTATTCGCATAGTAACGTGAACATAAATTCTGCATAAAATTGTGACTCAAGTCAACTCGAGTCATTAAACTCTGACCAATGCCTATTCTTAACATAGACATTGACAAAGTGGGAGACTAAAACACGATGGAGACTTGGTAGCTCACTTGGTAGAGCACTGGAACGGCAATCCGGAGGTCCCAGGTTCTATACCTCTTCTTTCAATTTGTGGATTGTTGTATTTCCCTGTACAGGCCACAGATTATTGCATGACTGGTCGCCCTGGATGCAGGCCTGCCCTGGTTCACTTCGTTCTCCCATATCACCAAGAGCACAAGCCTTCTCATATGCGGAGCAGTGCTGATCGTAAGTAATCTGCTACGGTCGCAAGTTGTCTGTGATTTGACAAAAGCTTGTCCCTTTGAAGCATTATGATCAGAACTTAGCGGTGCTGATCGTAAGTTATCTGCTACAATTGCAAGTTGTCTGTGATTTGACATAAATGCCATAAAGAGTGGGTGATTTGTTGTCGAGAATGTAGAGACCGTACTTTCTTATCTTTACACAATTCTCACTTGTTCTATTATAAATAAACGTTTGTCATTTTCCTTATCTTCCACGCATAAACGTAAAACCCTTCCTTCCATTTTATCCTTCAACTAAATCCTTTTTCCTTATTAACAAAGTAAGCCCCCTAGCCTGCATTATAACTAATTTGGCCTTTTGTCACGATATGTAATACTTGATGAAATATCCTTCTATAAAAATAAAACAATTTCAAAAAATTGGAAAAAAAACAACAATATATCTCCTAGCCAAGATGGGTAGTATTCTCCATAAATCCCTTCTACAACAAATATCTTCCAACCATGATGGTTTGCTCTCCTCCGTAATTCCCTTCTTAAAAAATATCCTCCTAGCCAAGATGGTTAATCTCCTCCACGATTCCCTTCTATAAAATATTCTCCGAGCCAGGATGGGTGACGTTTTCTCCATAATTCCCTTTTTTAAAAAAAATCCTTCTAGCCAAGATAGTAAGTCTCCTCCATAATTCCCTTCTAAAATTATTCTCCTAGCCAAGATAGTTAGTCTCCTCTGTAATTTCCTTTTAAAAAATCCTCCTAGCCAAGATGGTTGGTCTTCTCCATAATTCCTTCATAAAAAAACTCCCAGCCAAACTGGTAGTTAGTTCCTAGCCAAGGAGAATATTCTCCTAGCCAAGATGGTTAGTCTCCTCTGTAATTCCCTTCTAAAAAATATCCTCCTAGCCACGATGGTTAGTCTTCTCCATAATCCCTTCATAAAAAAACCTCAGAGCCAAGATGCTGGTTAGTCTCCTCTATAGTTCCCTTCTTAAAAAAAAATATCCTCCTAGCCAAGATAGTTAGTCTCCTCCATAGTGCCCTTCTAAAACATATCCTCCTAGCCAAAATGGTCAATTTCCTCCTAGTTCCCTTCTAAAAAAATATCCTCCTAGCCACGATGGTTTGTTAACCAAGTTAACGATCATTAAATAACAATTGACTGGTTCTTTTCTTTTTCTGCAGGCTTGTACAAGGACAAGATTTGGCCAAGTTAGAGTTCTGTGCTGTTGGTTCTAGGCCGGGGGATGAGCCACGTAGAGCCCACATCCTGGCGTTCTTTATCACAGCTGCCTGCCATAGCCATTGGTAAGTCAACACAATCTTCCTTCTTGTGATATTTGCAGAGTCGCATAACCTTCAATTTAGGATCACCAGATAATCAATGATAAATGAACGTAGCTCGTTATAGAAGCATGTTCACTTAGCCATTATCCAAATGATTAAAAAAAGCACTAAGCATAATCCAATGAAACATTAGTCCCTGCCCCTCAAAGTGCCCTGCCTGTTACTCCTGTATACCGCCCCAAACCGCCCCAGCACTCTATGGTTGTATGGATTCATCCAGGAATAAATACAGTGTTGTACAAGGAATACAGAATTCTACCAAATATGACACTCATTCTTTAGAAACTGAACCGCACAAGCTCGCACATGAGGTGTTGTTGCTGATCGCTGACAACATCAAAACCACATTGCATATAACAGAACTGTTTCTGAATTTTTAAAAGGGGCAAGTATCTGTTTAATTTTTTAAAAGGAACGTATACATTTAGACGGCGTTGGAATCATATAGCTTAATAAGAAATCGCTCAAAGCCAATGATGAAAACCACGATTGGAAAATGCGTTTAAAGTCCGGTTCCGGAA